CGGAACATCAAGCTGGCGGCGGGCTGTGCAACACTGAAGTAAACGCCGCAAGACGCTGCAATGCACAAAAGGAAGCACAGGCGGCGAGCCAACTGGTTGTGCAGAGCCAAATCCCCACTATCGCGGCAGGCTGCAGAAGGATCCGCCTCAGAGCGGGCCTTGAAGCGACCACGCGGGAGAAAAGAGAGGGCAGGGGCAGAAACATGTAGATCGAACACCGCCCCGCTGGTGATGAGATCCCGAAGGCCGTGAAACACGGCATCCGACGACAAAGCAGTGAAGTGCAGCTCGTTCGGAAGGCGCGGGTCGGTCAAAGGGACAGCCGCGAGGCCGGCTGCCTCATGCGCCTGGTCCCAGGTAGAACCTGGGAGAAACAAGTGCAGAAAGCCCCCAGTCGTCGAGAGAGGACGCTTCAAGGGCAGCGGTTCGGAGCCGAAGCTTAATCCAGCAACGTTTGCATCACCCAAATCCTCAACAAGTCCCACACCAGGATCCTCATCGAGACCGGCAGCCGCAAGGATAGCACTTGCAGGCTCGAGAAGCTTTGTGTAAAAACCTTTCTGCTCAGAGTAGCGCCAAAGCTCTTTGACGACGTCGCGAGGCAGCGCAGCAGCGCATAAGCCGGCGCCCGTAGGCGAAGCGTCCATGCAAAAGAGAAGATTCGGGTAGTCGACCCGCCAGTCTGTTTGCAACAAAGGTGCCAAGGCACAGAGAGCGAAAAGCTCGTTCACCGAATCACGTTCCAACTGAAAGATCACATCCCGTGGTGTTCGGCGGACATCAGCCAACACGCTTTGCAGGACGGCCAAAGCCGGCCTGCGAAACATCAAAACATGTATCCAAAGTCCCAGAAGCGATGACAAGAGGCTCGCCGAGCAGCAGCCTTTCCGAGCAACGATGCACGTGACGCGCATCAGAACTCCAATCCGATGCCTGGGGGCCGAGATCAAGCCAGAGAGCCCATCGACATCGGCTCCGAGGAATGTTCCGGATGTAATGTTACGTTGACGTTTCTTGGGGTGCTGAACCAGGCCTACAGTGGGGTAAGCCCTATCTGAACCAAGGAAAACCTGGGTGTCACGAAGTGAGGCTCCGGCCTTAAGCTCAGATCGGGTGCATAGCTGTGAAGTAAGGTGATCATCTATTGATAACAGCTCGACGCACGCAGCTCTGGGATAAGCCCGGCGATAAGCGGCGTACTCCTGCGGTCTCATGCTGCACCCGATCGAACTAAGTACGTGAAAATGACTCTGTTGAGCGAACTCAACTGCATGACAATCGCCCA